GCCTGGGAGGCTTTAGGGTTTAGGGTTTAGGGGTTTAGGGGTTTAGGGGTTTAGGGTTTAGGGTTTAGGGTTTAGGGTAGAAGCATCGGATCATCGGGGACTCTTCAACGAAGGTTCGGGGCTGCATTCGGACGTAGGGCTCAGGGCTCTCGTGCTTCAAGGCTTGGGGTTCTGGTCTGATGACACTGCAGACGGCACATCTGCGTGTAGTTGCCGTGAGGGTTTAGGGTTTGGGGTTTAGGAACCTACTTTAAGGGTTTAGGGTTTGGGGTTAAGGGTTTAGGGTTTCCTACCCTCAATCGGATCTGGTTGAGGGCTGTGCCTTTGCTGATTTGGCTCAGCTGTTCTGCAGACCCTCCAAGGTCCCTCCAGGCATGAACCCTTCCACTCTCTCCAACCATACACCCACAGCGCCTAAACCCAAAGCTTCAGCCCAACGGCCTACGTTGAAGGAAGCTCCCCAAAACCCCTGCGAGGCAATGGCCATGTCTCGTCGATGGGAGCGCCATAGGTTTGGAACTCAGTCGGTGTCCAAAGAGTGGCATCTCCCCGGGGTGTCCCAGAAGGATGAACTGGGAATTCGAGCTTAAGCGCATAGGAGCAAAACCGCTCCGGCTTTCAGGTTCCATTTCTAGCCACGACAGCTGATGTCGATTCGGCTAATCTCGCTTCTACACATAAAATAAAGCTGAATTCTAGTGAACATTCCCGAACCACGAAGTGAGTCGAACGTGACTCCGAAAGACAACTGTCGGCCCTTGCCCTCGTTGCTGTTTCCACAAATGGAAAAAGGCCTCACCCCTAAAGCTCCTACAACACGAAACCTTCAACCAAGGACGACACCCTTCACTCCAAATCCCAACCGTAGACCCTAAACCCCTGAGCCCCTAGGGACCTTTTAAGCTGTTGGGGAGCCTTCGGTACTCGGCTCCCGGCAGTGCCCGGCACGGCGATCACCTGCAGAAAGCAAAGCATGGCCAAAGGCTTAAGGGCGTAGAGTTTAGAGTTTAGGGCTACCGGGGGGGGAGGGTGGGGGAGGGGAGAGGAAGAGCTTCTAGGGCCTAGCAGTGCTCCTTTTCAGGGGTTTTGGGTCTTGGCTGGTCCTGCCAGCCCTAGACCCAATTTCACGATGCGACAATGTGTGTCGAAATGCTCTTGGCTCGCATTGTCACGCGGGAATAGTAGTTTAGTAGTCTCAAGAATACATGTGTAGAAAGAAGATCCAAGCCTTGCCCCAAAGACTCTGCTCCTCCACGTAAACGTAGTCCTGATGCTCAGCCATGACCAGGTGGGGGTTGTTCGTTGTTGGAGATGCACTCAAAGTACTTAGCAAAGTCTACGCTTACTACTCCGTTTACACTGCGCGAATATGATAAGGGGGTCCAGGTGGGACCGCAAAGAACGGGCCCCAGTAAGGACCGGCACAATATTATATGAATGCACTACATCATGGCCCCAATCCCCATGGGCAGGCAAGCGAAAACGTCCTCCGTGTTCAACACATATCCACGAAGCACGATCGTCGTAGTCTTCCCCGTCTCCGCACCGAAAGGCTTGTCTTTAGTACCTGAGCGCCCGGGCGACTTCTGATTCCGTTCATGAGACCATGACTTGAAGAAATTGAATGAAACTGCTGTTGAACGCAGGTCGGTCCGTCTTTCCATCCGTTGGCCGAGCACCCCTAGTTTTTCGAAAACCCGACGTGCATGCCAATGTCATCAACCACTATGACAAGATATGCAGCATCTTGCTTCGAATTGCGCTGCCAAGCGGCCGATCTCCAGCGTTCCCCACACCAGGATGTTGTCTGTCAGGCAAGCCGGGCTCAGGGGTAGTCGGCTTGAGCATCGCTCTCTATGTTGGGGCAGCCATGAGAAGAACATCGTGCCACGGAGGCTTGCGCATGGCACTCGTTGCCGAATCACATCAACCAGACGTCAAAGAACTGCAGCCCATAAACTCACACACTACGAAGAACTTAAGTCAGCACTCAGTGCACCACTTGGACAATCTTTCTGCTGCAGACAGGGAGGAAGCCCCGAACCCTTGACGGCATGCCATCAGCCAGAACTTCCGGAAGCCCCGAACCCTAACCCCAGAACCCCGAAGCTCTGACAGAGTAGCCTTGATAATGGGACAGTGTGTTGGGTCGATTAGAATTAGAGTATACACATATTAAGGAAATTAGAGTATAAACATATTAAGGAGCCCTAGGGAAGCGTATCCCTACAGCGCACCCTTCAGTTTGAAGTCTGCCCCGCCCGGCCTGTCACGAGATAACGATCTTCGCCTTTCTGCAGCACCGGCTTCCAAGATGGCGGAGGGTAATTAAACGCATACAGGGCTTAGGGTTTAACGGTATCAGCGACCAAAACCATGGCAGGGGCAGGGAATCTGAGAATCCAGCTGTCGTCGAAAGACAGCTTGCCGTAGATCGTGAGGTTCTTGATACGCACGTCTGGCAGGTCCATCATGATCCAGTCCTCTTTCTTGATCTCCACCACCTCCCCGGTAACATCACCTGAGCCACACCGGGAAAAGCAAGACGCGGCTGACTTCAGGGTCCTACAAGAGTCTCTGATGTTCGACAGGCTGACGGCTGTTTCGTTATGTTCTACTATACTCGATTATATTACATCATACCATGATTGTATACTATATGCATAATAATGCAGTACATTGTCATTATACTATGTCATGTTAAGTTAAGTTATATTATAGTCTACACTATAACTATGTCTAATGATTCCTCACACTGTTAGCCTGCAGCACCTACAGGGACGATCTAGCTTGTCGAAGTGGAATGCCGAAAAATGAAGGATTGCTTGCCTTGAGAAGCCGGATTCAGGGTGGAGGTAAGGGCTTGGGGCTGCCAGGCTCACCTCTGGTAACACCCAACATTGAGAAAACCAGTGATTGTAACAACTGCATTCAATGTTGAAGAAACTCATCTTGTTGTGATTGTAGCATCTTACCCGTACGCTGAAGGGTGACTGTGTATGTGAGTAATCTGCTGTTCTCCGTCCACGTGCTGAACTTTACCCAGAATCATAATCATCATAAACATGTCGTCGTCGTCGTAGTAGTTGTTGTTGTCGTCGTCGTAGTGCTAGCCAAAGGCAGAGGCAGTGGCAGCGGCAGTGGTTGTCGTCGTCGTCGTGGTCGTGTCGCAGTGGTAGTGACAGATGCAGTGGCAGTAGCAGTCGTCGCCGTCGTGGTAGTTGTAACAGTAGCAGCGCGTGGTAGTGGCAGTGGTCATAGCTGTCGTAGTCGCAGTAGCAGGTAGCATTAGCAGCAGGAGGACTAGTTGAGGGCATCATCCCTGAAGCCCATGTTCATTCCGTGCAACACCCCGACAGAGTGCAATCTTGCATTCATGTCAAGCAACAGGGATAGGTGTGAAGACGTATACATGTTTTAACTTAAGCATGCGCACCTACATCACGTTGACAGGCTCATATATTCAAACACTGCGTGTAAGCGTTACCAGTGTCACTTGTCAACGACGGGTCCACATCAGGCCCATGGCCATCGTCATCATGAGCGCCGTATTCGGACTACCATCACAAGTACCGCACCAGCTTTCTCTCCGAGCTTTGCAGCTGGGATCCCTGCCAAACTTCTCGCTCCACCTCGGTGGCCAAGTCACACAGCCCACCATCATGCACGGGCTGGCCAGTGTCTCCATAATTCACTTGGCTCCACAGTCTAGACTCTGCGGCCATGCAAGCCGCGGTTCCCAAAATGTCCCAAAATCAGATCATCTGGTGGAGTAAACCCTAAATTCTGAAGCAACCATGAAGACCTCTGCCTAAACCTCCGTTTTGCAGTACAGCAGAATGGCGGAAGGTCAGATTGCTGAGTGGTGCACAGGACGTAGTGCGACCAGTTCTGCTGCCGGTCCGGCAGACCTCAGTCGTAGTCTCCCCTACAGAACCCCCAAAAACCCTATAGAAGCCTCATAGAAACAGAAGCGCCGCACTGCTCTTCTGATAGCGGTAAACCTTATTTATAGGAGCCCTTATAGCATCTCGGCTGCGATCCATGACTGCTGTCGCCAAACATGCTTTTCTCAAGCCGGTTCTCCTTGCACGTCTTGGTGCGGCAGGCAGCAAAGAAATCTGAGCATTACGACACGCCACATGAGCAGCGCGCGGAAAACTATGATGGATGACGAGAACACGCTGATAGAAAACACAGAATGAAGTCTGCCAACCACAAGCACCGCCACGAACACGGTAGCAGTGGGGTCACAGGCTCCGAAGGATTAAAGGCCCTTTGAAGACTGCCTACTTAAAGGATCATGGGACTTAGTAAGTAGGGTTATAACTAAGGTATCTATACTTATAACCCCAATTAGGGGACTTGTAACCTAACTTACCAAGTACCATGATCCTCCAAGTACTGGCTTCTACTAAACTCTAAGTTGGGCAGCTCTCGACTGCCAGGGCTCCCCAAAACCTGTATTATAGGGGGCCCTAATAATTAGAATAGGGTTTTTGGGAGCCCACTATACTATAAGTATAATAAGGAACCCCCAAAATACTATAGGTTATTATTAAGGCGCCTATCTTACAAACTGTCTTGAGAACAGGAAGTGCTTTGGCCGAATATACTGCCTGCCTCTAAGCCTCAGTCGTCAAACATGTTTCTCACAGCTGAGGAACTGGAGATGGGACCGTGCTTATGTCAATAACAGGAAACCGGTCAGAAACCTCGCCAGACGAATCGAAGACTTCCAGCGCATAAACACAAAGCCTTCAATGGAGACGGACATAGATTGACATGATGATGAGGATGATGACAATGACCGCCGTCACCTTTAGCACCAGTACCCAGCATCGATATCATCATCACCATCATCACCATTACCCTTCTCCAAACAAGTCCAAGCCCCAGACATAAAGCACCCTAAAACCCTAGACCCTAAACCATGAAGCCCTAAAGCCCTAAAAACCCTAGAAGCCCTAAAAGCCTAAAAACCCCTAAAAACCCTAAAAACCCCTAAACCCTGAAAATCCTTGGAGCCCCGAGTCCCCAGAACCCACAGGAGCCGCAGAGACCGGGAGCCCAGGCCCTGCAGGCATCCCTCATCCGGGCACTTGCGCGCCTGGGCCATGGGGGCCATGGAAATCATTTTAGGGGTTTAGGGTTTAGGGTTTGAGGTTTAGGGGTTTTGGGGTTTTGGGTTTTAGGGGTTTAGGGTGACCATTAGGGTTTCGGGGTTTTAGGGTTTAGGGAATTAGCAGCTCTTTGATGCTGACTTTAGGCTTTTCCGGCTCCTGTCATCGTCAGACATCTTCACTGAAGATCTGAGTTCTTTAAGATGAAAGGGCGAAGCTGTCCTCATTGCCTTACATAGGGGCCTTAATCAGTAGAATAGGTTTGGGGGTATATGATACTATGACTATGATCGTATACAGTCTACAGAGTACTTGTATGGGGATCATAAAGGGGATAGTGCTGTTACGAATTATGCCGACCCTGTTTGCAGATGGAAGTAGCAGCTTCGATGTAGGTGTCTGATAGTATGGCTGGTACCGTGTCTGGAGCTTGTAGACCACATTCTTTCGGAGTATCGTGCTTGGGAGCAACACTAGAACACCCACTTCCTCGTCGACCCATAGCCAGTCTCCCGAAGGCCGTGCCATAATTCATGCCCAGCTACACATTACGATGTTCGTCGTTACCAATCAAAACTACCGCTGCTTTATCGACAGCTGCCGTCAATGGTAGCGCTACTGCTGTTCTTGACAAGGTCGGAAGAATCAACAGAAGCAGGCAAGCTAGCAACCACAAAGAGCAACTTCAGAACAAAGACAAAGCAGTAGACGCATCTCTCAAGCAACAAACTAACCAAGCGGACCCTTAGAGACTTACAGAGGCACGCACATGCTGCAACAATGCTAGACCGGCTCCTTCTTGCAGTTACCCTTTCGTCTTCCACTGTTTGTGCTTCTGTTGTCGGGGGTGTTGTCGCGCAAGGCGCGGAGCAAAGCCACCGAGCCCAGGGGCCTCGAAGTGGGCGCTCATGGGCTCCTGCTCCCAGGATGGCCCGCCCGCCTCAGAGAGAGGTGCCGGTGAATAGGGATTCTCCTTAGGAGATTTGGCGGTCTCGCAGGGGTTCTCCTTGAACCAATTTGGAGGTCTCGCTGAGTTTGGGGGTTCAATGTGTTCCGAAGGTTGTGGAAAGCCCTCGAAGCCTCAGCGGTTCTGAAAGGCTTCCACAGGCTTTTCAAAACCCCTAAACCCCTAAACTGGCCCTAAACAATAGACCCCTTAAAACCCTAAACCCGAAATCATCAGATCCCACCTCCTCCCAACACCTCCAAAACCCGGCGAAACCTTGAATGTAAGTAAATAAATGAATAAAAAAATAGGTCTGTACATATATATATACACACTATGAATGCACATGTAATGCATAAATAAATAAATAAATATATATATATATATATATAGAGAGAGAGAGAGAGTGTATTGTGTATGTGTATATATATATATATATGCTAACCCCCCCCCCCCAAGAACTACCGCGAGGTGCCGCCATAGCTCCACCAATCCTCCTAGGTTAGGCTTCTGGCGTATGACCCCGGCTTAGCATTAGGTTTTGAAGCTCCCAGGGGACAGCAAAAG